AGGACTCTCAGTGGAGTCTATTTTTAAACACTGGAGAGGGAGGATCAAATGATATCTAGGACTCCTTAAAAAGAGGTCATACCACTAGGTAGAAACCCCTGTCTCCACGCCCTCTGACTTTCACTTGGATTTGGCATCCTTACCCCCTGCTTAGCAAATGAGGTAAACTTAGGGTAACCCCCATCAGTTAGGGCAGGCTAAGGACAGTTCTGCTGCCCTTTCATTATACAGTAAGGATCAACATTTCATTACCTCTGCACCCAAAATTAAAGTACATTTTAACCCAAAGCAGCCAAAATTGATCATTTTTTAAAATAGGTCTCTCTGCTGATCACCTACACAAAGTAGGTGCATCTGTGCAAATATAATCGGCTCCTCAGATCTTCTGTCTCAGTTTTTCAATAGATGGAAGGGGAGAGAGCTCCTTACATCAGTTCCCCACCCCATTCTCATAAAGTTACAGAAATTGTAGGGGTTACAAGTAACAGCACTTTGTAAAATATATTTAGACAGTGTGCCTTTAATAATTGTTGGACAGCCATCTGATTTAGAATCCACAAGCCAAATTCCTCCTTGTATAGCTCTACCAGTTTCACTGTATTGAATGAGTTTATTTAGAGAATTGGAGAAATCTCAGCAAACGCTTCATAATCTGAGATCAGGGAAACTTTCTAGGAGAGTTTCCCTGGCAAGAAGGGGAAAGCTGGGCCTACAGGTCTATTCTTACTGGTTTAAGGAAGTAATCCGGACTGGGGGCTTCTCCTGGCAAGAGTTCTGATGATTTTTCCTCCCCTTTGGAGACATTTGAATTCTTCGCTAGCACATAGAGTCAGATGAAGGTAACTCAAACCCTTTATAAAAACTATTCTCTTTTTTTTTTGGGGGGGGGGGCGGAATGAGGAAGTCAGTTCCAAAATTTTCTATAAATTATTGCCTCCAAATTGTCTCTGTTCACCTGTGTCCTTTTCAACAGTAAATCAGCTAGGGTTTAACAATCAAGGCATAAAACATGAAGAGACAGATGAAAGAAAAATAAGGAGCCAGGCTATATTCTGCAACCCTCTCACTGCAAATTTCAGGCATGGGAATTGCACCAGAAACAGAAGGCAGTTCCTGGATAACTATATCCGGGTAGATGCCACCATGGCAGAATTAACCACACTGTTCATTAGTACTCTTGTTTTTGAACTAAAATATTATTTGTTTACATTTTCTCTGGCTCAGTGTTTTTCTGAAGTCACTGGCACAGGTGGATAAATGGGGAGAAAAGAGTTACCTTCAGTGTCCTGGTTGGCAAATTTCTTTGAAATATAATATGCTGGCAAATGGATGGAGAGAGATATTTCCTTGGTGGGGACATAGCAAGCAAGCAAGCCCTGTTATTGCAACATTCTTTGTACACTCAAATAAAAAGAAACTAAATAATCTGATCTGTGTTGTCAGCCACAGCTAGTGATTTGAGCCAAGAACACATGGGTATCTTAGAGTAGTGTTTCCCAAACTTGTTCTGCCGCTTGTGCAGGGAAAGCCCCTGGTGGGCCCAGCCGGTTTGTTTACCTGCCGCATCCGCAGGTTCAGCGGATCGCGGCTCCCACTGGCCGCGGTTCGCTGTGCCTGGCCAATGGGGGCTGCGGGAAGCGGCAGCCGGTACGTCCCTCGGCCCGCGCCACTTCCTGCAGTCCCAATTGGCCTGGAGCGGCAAACTGCGGCCAGTGAGAGCCGTGATCGGCCAAACCTGTGGACATGGCAGGTAAACAATCCGGCCAGGCCCACCAGGGGCTTTCCCTGCACAAGCGGCAGAACAAGTTTGGGAAACACTGCCTTAGAAATTACTTATTTGAATGGACAGAAACCAGGTGCAGTGGTAATGTGGATCTCAAACCAATCATCATGCCAGATCCTCCACACCCAAATTTGATAGGCCGGGAGACAGCATGCAAAATTAGATCCACTGCTCAGCTGGTACACAGGGATCTTCAGGCTAAAGAGAGATGGCTTGTCTACACCAGGGAGATTTCCCCACAAATTCTAACCATTTTAAAAACTAATTGGAGCTATAGGGTTGGGTGGCCTGAAAAATTTATACTCACCTGATTTCAAAACCACTGATTTTGCTGAACTGGTTTAAGGTGATTTTGAAACCAATTCAATAAAAACAGTTCAGGCCACCCAAGCCTGGTCTATACTATGGCTCCAGTATAGCTGAAACAGTTTTCAAGCTGGTTAGAACGGAGCGGGAATTTCAGTGTTGTCAGGATGATTTCATATTGTTTTTACAATTACTATAGCCAAGGGCTAAATTGGGCACTTATGCCCAGATTTTTAAAGGTATTTCGGCATTCCAATTTGCTCCTCTCAGGGCTAAGTAACTTGGATGGCCAAGTTCCATTTTCAAAAGTGACTCGGTTCAGCGAAAGTTTTTCCTAGTTTAGATTCAATGACACAGCCTCAGGTACCAATTGAGAGTCTTCTTTGTATTCTGTTTGATCTAGAAGCACATTTTTATGCATTTCTGAATGTGTGTTCCTCCTTGACATATTCCTGATTTTAGTCTCTTGTCCCTAATTACTGTCTGTTTTAATGTCTGAAGGTCAAGAGGGCACATGGTAAGAAAAGAATTGGCAAGACCTTTTCTAACAAGACCCAGGCTAGTGGGAAGCTAAAACAGGATGTCCTTGGCTTTAGTAGGGGCTGAGAGAAAAAGCTGCTCAGTATTGAAAAAGACATGTATATGGGTAAAAGGTTTACTCTGACTCGCAAAAAATAAATAAAGAAATAAAAAATCTCTTGCTGCAAACCAGACCTATTTTCTTCAAATAATCTTCCAGGAAACAGCCTGTACCTAGCTAGGATGTGATTACCAGTTGCAGGCCTCAGACCATGGCCATTATTGTTTTAACATTCCTCCCTTCCTCTTTATCCCAGTATGAAGCAGCCTGTGTGGGATGTTGTGTAACTTGACATTGCTTGGAGATAAAAAGGCAGTTTAGCACTCAACAATCACGGAGACAGAAGCAAAAAGACAGTGATTAGAAAATAAAGAAATGAGTGTGCAGTGTGCTATGTAGGCAGCTAGTTGAACAGGATTCCCTTCCACAGAACCCAAACAGAAAGTTTGATTTTCCCATATTTTATTTTTAATTTTGGCAGTTACATTTAACATGATGAAGGCATCAGTGAAAGTAGGGCTGCTTCACTGCAATACATGAGATTTTTTAAATCTGTAGGAGTGATGAGAGTTTTATAAAAGCAATATTGGTGGTGAATCCCAACCAAGATAGGCTACAAACAAATCCTAGAGTTCACTTTTATGTAAAGTGGAAACCACCCTCTCAGCTCAAGAAACAAAGGGTCCCATTGCAAGTGCCTGTCAAGTATGGAGATTCATCATCAAGAAAAAATAATATTTACAGGAATGGCCTAAATTAAGAGCAAAGTTAGTCATCAACTTGAAACCATATCAGCCATTCCAAGAAAATAAATGAGATAAGTGGGCAATTTTTGGTAAAAGGAGTCAGACACAGTGTTCTAGCATTGCTGAGAAATGCCCACTAAATGACACAGCAGTCTTCTAAGTATTGAAAAATGTAAATAAAGGGCAAGAAATACTTTGTTATGGCCAATGATGAGTGCTCAAATAACAGATAGGACAACTTAGTGTGCTCCATTCAGTCTCTTCCAAAGAACAATAAAACAAGACAGATGATGCAAGGCCATGAAATCCCAAAGACTAATAGGGGATGTATTTGCATTTGACAAAGGAGAAAACCTTTTTATTGTTAATTGATTACTACTTTCAACTAATGGAGATTTCAAAACTAACAAGCAAATGGTATTTCCCCCCCATATCAAATCACAAGGTGCCAGGCATATAATACCAGAGGTTATAATTGCTGACAACTTCCTGACAAAACATTTAATCTCTCGCTGCATCAGGAGGTTCCTATCTGTAAAATAGGGATATACCACCTCATTTCTCCCACCCTTTGTCTTTCTTGTACTTTTCAAGAATAAACTCTTCAAGCACTCTCTCTTATTATATGTATATATAGCCCCATCTAATAAAATGGGGCTCTGATCTCAGGGTATCTAAGTATTACTTCAATACAAAAAATAATAATGAAAGAAATTCCAGATAAATCAGTCAGAATTTCACTGGGATTTCCTACCTTAGTCCAGCCCTAGCTTTCTATGCCCTTTATAAATAATAAAATGAAGTATCAAGGATCCTTGCTTGATGAAAAATTCAACACAGGTAGTTTATATCTAATTTCTGTCAGTGGGTGGAGTTTGTGCCCAATCCACTCAAAAGCTAGTGAGGAGATAGTCAGTCAGTGTCTTCCAAAATCCTAGGGTCTAATCAGTTTTTCAGTTACTTCTAGTATATATGTGAGTGTTTTATCTTCTGGGCATTTGGACACTGATCTGAGTACAACCATCCCGTGCTCACAAATGATAAATAGCAAAAAGTAGATGTTTTATCTGAAAATTGCAGGAAAGATGCTAAGGAAAATGGAACCCTATTCACCCTGATTGAGTTCTCCAGCAGACAAGCTACTGTGCCAGCTGATTGTTTTGGATTTCCTCAGTACACAAGACATAGCCCAGGGAAAGAGAAAGCTCATACAATCAACAGTCCAAGAACTAAGCTTCTTACACTCTGGGCCTGTAGCCAGAGAGACCTGAATTCAGTGTGTGGATAGATTGTTTATTTTCCTGAACCATTTCCAAAACATTAGAGCTTCTTGACTAAGACCAGGGTTTAGTTTGCAAGGTGTTTTATAAACACCATAGTCTCTTCAGTGGTTAATTGGCACTTTTTGTATAAATTGCGTGAGCTCATGAGTGATTTCAAAAAGGAAACAAGCCATCATTATGCTCAGTTAGGACTTGCTGACATACAATGAAATGATTCAGGTTTGTCTTCCTAGTTGAAGAACGAACTAGATATTTGCTCATGTAATTTTTTTTTCTGTCTCTACCCCTCCATTGCCTTCCAGACTCTGATTGCACCTGCTCCATTTGCTGATGAAATAAGCTGTCAGTGCCAAGCCCCGCATGAGAAACTAACCATCACTCAGGCCCGTCTGGGAACACCAGGTGAGACATCCAATTAATCAAGACTTTGCCGACAGCGGCATTAACAGGACTAAGAGCAGCTTCCACAGACATGGCCTTTCAGCTGTGAAAGTATTTCACTATTACAATAGCACTCTTCATTTGGGAGAAGGAGGAGCAGCGTGTGCTGCCTTGGGGCTCAGGGAGGTGTAACGAAAGGATATTTATGGTTTCTTAATGATACAGCCCACACACTTTAATGTAGTTATTAAATGTACAGGGTTACTTTCTCAACAGGTATAAAAATGCTGGGGAGTGAGATTTGGACATAAGAGGTAACTCAGCAAATCTCAACACACAGGTTATTTGGATACCGAAATCATATGGGATACTGGCTAAAATGAGTGTTTTCCTCACATTTTGAAACACACTTCATGGCTTCTGCATCACAGCTGTGATATATCTCCTCTGACAGCACCACAGCTTATGAGTGTATATATGTACTCTGCCTGAGTATCTATAGTGGTGAGAAATCACTTTTTGCTTTCTGACATTACCATGACAGTCAAGGCCAGCAGTGCAGGCAATACTATAGCATCAGGGCCCCCCACAATGATAGTATGATGTTTGGCGCCCATTCTTCAGTTCCAAATGGTGTGGGGTATGAGCTGATTCATGATGACTGACAGGAATTACAGCCCTAGGGAATCAGGGAGCCTTTCCCTTTATTGAGATTCTGGATGGCCACATTACAAGTTCCTCCCTCCACCTGTCTAAATGGAAATGTTGATCCACTATTTTTCTACATAATACAAACACAAGTGTTAAACACTTCACCTGTTCCCCTCTAATCTGGTATCATGGCAGAGGAGTTTAGGGTAGGTAATACTCTCGATCATGGACCTTTCAGATGGTGGGGAGGATCCCAGCTGATGGTTTTACAGGGGGCCCCAAAAAGCTGCCTGTTACCCTGCTTTGAGGAAGCATCCCCATCTTCCCGGTGAGTTTTCCAAGAAACATGGTTTTCTCCACATTTCACCTGAGTCATGGGAGATATGGTCATCCTGAGCCGTGACCTGCCTTTCTGCTGCACTGCAGCAGCAGCTTTGGAGCTCAGAGCCCCAGTTGTTTGTCTTTCAGTTGTACAGGGACTTCCTATCTGTAGCAAAGTGGCCAGGCATGATGCTCAGTGACCCCTTTAGGCCTGCAGCCCAGTGCTAGGGCATGATGAGTGGGGCTCAGGAAGAGATGGGTCGTAGGGAGCAAACAGGAGGAGGCAATAAGAATGGGAAAGATAGAAAGGTTAATCAGAAAGGAGAAGCGTCTGAGGGAAAAGGAAAGGTGTAGCTGCAAGAGGAAACAAACGTGTGTACAGCATTAAGCTGAGGAAAAGAAAAAGGCAGGGAGCAGAGAAAAAAGTGAAATGACACAAAGGGAGTGAGACAGGAAAAAGACCTTTTTTCCAAGTGAGAATTCAGGGAAAAGGGAGGATAATAAGAGGCCAACTTGGGGAGAACACAGTAAAGAGGATTCTGATGGGATGGGACTCACCACTGAGGCACCGCCTGCTGGATGTTCTGGGGATCAGCTCTACTAGCCAGGGCTCCCTCTTCTGGTGGCATCTCATCACAGTCACTTCTGCTCCAGGGACCCACATCACTCCCAGGACCAGGGCATTATCTTCGTGACAGAGCCCTCCAGCTGTGCCACTGCACTCTGTACTCCCCGCTTCCAGGGGAATGTTACAGTCCCTTAGTCTAGCCACTTCCTCAGTGGCAAGTGAGGGCAGGGGAAGGACTCATGCCCGCCCACTACTCCGGGTCCCGGCCCAAGGATCCTGTAGATGGCCACTGCTTGTGGCACCCCCTCTTACTCCTCAGTAGATTTCCCTGGGCCACTTCCCCACGGCCACAGCACCCTCTTTGCCCTTGCCACAGGGCCTCAGCCTGCAGATCCCTGTGGCCCACCAGCAGCTGCCTTTATATCCCTGGATCGCTGCCTGCAGCACTGCTCTATCCAGGGTGCTTACTGCCTTCAACCTCCAAGGCAGCCAGTCTACCTCCCTCCTCAAGCTCCAGGGAGTGACCAAAACTGCTCTGCAGCCCTTCTTATATGGGTCAGCCCAGCCCCTCTCTGATTGGTCACCTCCTGTGAAGCCTCCAAAGGATGTAGAAGAGTAAGTAGACTAAACATTTTAAATTTACCCACTGTAATTCTGCATATCTGAGGAGAAAAAAAACAAAAACACAACATTCTTACCAGAGGCCAAAACTTATCAGCTGGATTTACACATAACTCCTGTTAAAGCTGAAAATCATAAGAACAGAAGAATGGCCATACTGGGTCCATTTAGCCCACTATCCTGTCTTCTGGGTAATCATCAAGTGATCCATCCCCTGTCGCCCATTCCCAGCTTCTGGCAAACAGAGTCTAGGGACACCGTCCCTGCCCATCCTGGCTAATAGCCATTATGGACCTATCCTCCATGAACTTATCAAGCTATTTTTTGAACCCTGTTATAGTCTTGGCCTTCACAACATCCTCTGGCAAGGAGTTCCACAGGTTGACTGTGCATTGTGTGAAAAAATACTTCCGTTTGTTTGTTTTAAACCTGCTGCCTATTAATTTAATTTGGTGACCCCTAGTTCTTATATTATGAGAAGGAGTAAATAACACTTCCTTATTTACTTTCTCCACACTAGTCATGATTTTATACTCCTCTATCATATCCCCCCTTAGTCATCTCTTTTCCAAGCTGAAAAGTCCTAGTTATTAATCGCTCCTCATATGGAAGCTGTTCCATACCCCTAATCATTTTTGTTGCCCTATTCTGAACTTTTTCCAATTCCAATCTGCATGCAATATTCAAGATGTGGGCATATCATGGATTTATATAGAGGTAATGTGATATTTTCTGTCTTATCTATCCCTTTCTGAATGATTCCCAACATTCTGTTCACTTTTCGGACTGCCACTACACATTAAGTGGATGTTTTCAGAGAACTATTCACAATGACTTCAAGATCTCTTTTTTGAGTGGTAACAGATAATTTAGACCCCATCATTTTATATGTATAGTTGGGATTATGTTTTCTAATGTGAATTATTTTGCATCTATCAACATTTAATTTCGTCTGCCATTTTGTTGCCCAGACACGCCGTTTTGTGAGATCCTTTTGTAGCTCTTCGCAGGCTGCCTGGGACTTAGCTATCTTGAGCTATTTTGTGTCATTTGCAAATTTTGCCACCTCACTGTTTATCCCTTTTTCCAGATCATTTATGAATATGTTGAATAGGCCTGGTCCCAGTACAGATCCCTGGGGGACACCACTATTTACCTCTCTCCACTCTGAAAACTGACCATTTATTCCTACCCTTTGTTTCCTATCTTTTAGCCAGTTACCAATCCATGAAAGGACCTTCCCTCTTATCCCATGACAGCTTACTTTGCTTAAGAGCCTTTGGTGAGGGACCTTGTCAAAGGCTTTCTGAAAATCTAAGTACTGTATATCCACTAGATCCCTCTTGTCCACATGCTTATCAATCCCCTCAGAGAATTCTAGTAGATTGGTGAGGCATGATTTCCCTTTACAAAAATCATGTTGACTCTTCCCCAACAAATTATGTTCAGCTATGCATCTGACAATTTTGTTCTTTACTATAGTTTCAACCAGTTTGCCCGATACTAAAGTCAGACTTACCAACCTGCAATTGCCAGAATCACCTCTGGAGCCCTTTTTAAAAATTGTCATCATATTAGCTATCCTCCAGTAAAATCATTGTTGTGTTTCTTTCCCCACAGTTGACAGACCAGTTAGAGTGTATGCAGATGGGATATTTGACCTCTTCCACTCCGGCCATGCTAGAGCTCTTATGCAAGCCAAAACTCTCTTCCCAAATAGCTACTTATTAGTAGGAGGTAAGAACACATCTATTTACTGGATTTTGGGCTCTATTATGCAGTAGCAGAGGAGCCGTATTGCCACGTTCTCGACTGCAGCTGTTTATACACTCTGACTTTGAGCACTACTTCCCGTTTTGATGGTATTTTACACCTTAAAAAAATAGTCCAACTTAAAATGATGTCAAACAAAGTAAGAGTCAAGTCATAGAGCTGCATATGCACAGTTCCCAGTCTAGTTAAAGGGAGATGCCTGCATGACTCTGAGGGCAGAATGTCTCCATACCAGTGTTTATCTTTTTTTTTTTTTACAGTCTCAGGAGTATAAAATGGTAGAGATGAGTGAATAATCTATAACTAATAATCTAATTAATGATTTTTAGCATATTTTTCAGCTCACAAAACATCCATGAGCTGATTTTGATTTCTTTTTCATTTATTTGGGGAACTTTTTTGAATTTGTTAGTCTATGGATTGATAAAATACATTCCAAAGTTGTCATATATCAGAGAAGTATTGTTTTTGTTTCCTGACTGGATGATTGTGCAAGCACATCTAATGTGAATACTTGCACATGTGCATTTAAGTTTTGGTGTCTTTGAACACTAGTGCATGTTGCTTTGAAATTTGGTTTTCAAAAATAAAACTCTACTGCTCAAACATTAACAAAGTGTGACTCAAATGAGTTCATTGAAACATTCAAATGAATAATGTGAGGAATTATTTTGTATCATTGCCTCAGCTTTGCCAAAAAAAAAAAAATTAGAAAAGCAGCATCTTGTTCTTATTCACACTTTGGTTTTATACTTAAATTATTTCAGTTCAAATGTAGGTAGTGGGAAGATCTGTTCCATAATGGAGGAAACACTTAAGAGCTCTCCCATGCTCTTCCAGCTGACCCAGACAGAGTAGAGGGAAAGCAGATGGGAATGCATAGGGGAGCTGCTCTTTGTCGGGGACCTTGTCTCAAACTGGGGAGGGAGCTATGAGGTGAAACCTGGCCCTATTAAAGTTAATGGCAAAATTTCCATTGAGTTCAGTGAGGCCAGCATTTCACCCACTGTTCTTTGGGTGTGGGAGCAAGCTTTCAACCATCTTCATCAGTTTCCCCGAATAATGTGCTGTCTCTTGGTGGGTGTGGAAAACTGTCAACTATCAATCCCCACATAAAATTTGCACTGCATCAAAGTCTGGTGTCACCTGTCTTACTGTGTGCATCTTGTCATATTTCTTGTTGTGGAAACATTTATTTGGAGTTAAGATTTTTTTTTAAAGTAATTCACTAATAACTTGCAAACCAATAGGCCCAGAAGAGTGTGGTAACCAGAAAGAAGCCCTTGATGGCTGATGGGTGTGTACCATAGGTGGACAGGCACAATTAAAAGGAAATATTTTCTACAAATCAGAAATAAACTAAATATGCTACCTCCTGATAATCAGTAACATTGATAGAGCACGTCTCTTCGAGGAGAACCAGACCCTAAGGTGATTTACAGACTGTAAATAAAAATAAATACATGGAGAGATATTTCCACTCATTATTGAAAATGCACTGACCTGTGGCACATTTGTTGCCAGCATACACCACAACTCCGTAATGGGAAGTGAGGCATCCCTTACCCATTTGAAAGTCTAGATGAGTATATAACTATTTGAGTTAGAATTTGGCCAGGACTCCAGCAATAAGGTACTCCTCCTGCTTATGTATAAGCGCCTTAAAATCTTTAATGATCATGGTAGTGAGAACCTCTATTTTACATCTTATTCAAAAAATGACACCTTCAGCAGAAGAGCATCCACCAGCACCATACTGGAGTGTTAGGTCAGCGCTGATACAGAGGGGAGAGTGTCCAGCTGGTGAGTCATCAATAACCCTTCCTGCAGCCATAATAAGATTTAGCATTTGTATAGTTCTTTACACCTTCAGAATGCTGCACAAACATTAACTAATCCACACAACAACCCCGGGACATAGGCCATTTTTCCCAGCTTCTTAAAAACCAGGATTAGAATGTAAAATTTCCTGAGTCCACATCCTATGCAACATTCCTCAAGAGCACACTGCCTCTTACAATCCCACAGCTGGGCTTTCCTCAGAGATTTCCTGTTTGAATACGGATCAGGTCCAACCTCAAATGCTGTGAAATCTGCTGAACCCATAGCCCAGGCCACTATGACTGCACTTGTTTGCTATTAATTTGTGCTGGTTTCAATATAGCTGTCCAACAGTGATTTAGAGACGTGTAGGCAAATTTCTGGAACTTTGCAGAGCATTCCTCCTATTTAGCGTGAACTTCTGGTCTCTGTTCTAAAGACAGAAAGAGGCACATCTTTATTTGGGTTGAAAATGGAATGTAACTGAACAAACAACTTTAAAATAAGGATATTGATCAGAAACTTCTTACCGGCCAGATGCGCTAATTGTGCAAAGTTAACATAGAAATATTTTGTTGATTTTTCTTATGTCAGTTTGCAGTGATGATCTAACCCACAAGTTCAAAGGCTTCACTGTAATGAATGAAACCGAGCGGTATGAGGCACTCAGACACTGTCGCTATGTAGATGAAGTCATCAGAGATGCTCCATGGACGCTCACACCGGAGTTCCTAGAAAAACATAAGGTACCATTCTTCTCCAGACCCCTTCCCTTCCTTCTGTAAATTAACTGCTGGGAATACATAACAAGGATATGAGATTCTATTAGCTGGAATAAATTAAGTAATTCAATTCCTGACAGCCAATTATTACAAATCACCTGCCAGTTCTAAATCAGAAAACTTTCTGTTCTCTAGCTCTTTTTGATGTAAGTGGAAGTGGGCACGTATTCTGTTTTTTGGAGACTGACTCAAAGTACCAGCGCGTCAATAATGCAAACTTAACTCATTGACCTGTGATAACAGGACACTCTTCTCAGATCTCCTGCCTTTTGGAGCTAAGCATACATCAGGGATTTATATCATGAGACTTTCCATGGGTTAGAAAGTGACTAAGGATTGAAAATACCCACAACTTGCCAGGTACTCCCATATTCGGAGGCATCCAGTTGTTATTTCATACAGTTAAAGTCTAACTCCTGAGGCTATACTATAAGTGAAGTGCATGTTATCTTCTTGATGCCATGGCAAGTGATATCCACCAAATAAATGCTAAGAACAGAGTTAGCATTTTTTAGGATTTGGATTAAAGCAATAGGATGAGAGATCATGGTGGTGTCCCACATCTGGATTAATCAAGTGGATAATGATTAGATTAATTTTGTTAGCCTAACTGTAACAAATAAGAATACTCTTTTGTGTTAATGTTCAGGGGCAGATGTAAGGGACTATTCTAGCAACAAACTATATATGACCATGTCTACACTACAAAATTAAGTTAATCCAATTTATGTCAGCATACAGTAATTTCATTGCTTGTGCGTATCGACACTTTGCTCCTTCTGTCAGCAGTGTGCATCCTCACCAGGAGCGCTAGCACCAATTGAACTGTCAGTGTGGGGCATTGTGGGACGGCTTCTGAAAGCTAGCAACTGTCAATGTAAGCAATGCAATGTTTACACTGACACAGCATCAGCCTAACTACGTCAACACTGACACGAAGGTGGAGCTATTAAGTCAGTATAGCAGGCGAGTTAGGTTGGCGGGAGCAAAATTTTAGCGTAGACACTCACAGAGTTGGGTCGATGTAAACTTTTCAGTGACCTAACTCTGTAAGGTAGACCAGGGCTCAGTCTCTCTTTAGGAAAAACCTGGGGCCCAGTTATTCGGTGTGCGTGGGCTGATTTGCATGGGGGATCCTCAGGTGGCATAGAGCTGCTGAAGAATCAATTGCAGCAGGGTCATCATTTGCTGTGGGGTAAGAGGGACAAGTGCTCTCCCCGACCTTGGTTTGACCTCCTCAAACTTTTCATAGCTCTTTGAGCTCCACTTTTGTTGTCCTTCCCCCCAGATTTTGCAGGATATAATACAATCACATATAATCTTCTAAACACTGACAGAACTTGGCCCCCTGCCTCTGAATTTTTCTGAAATGATGCCCCTGAACTGCTCCCACCAAATCAAAGGCAAATCTCCCAGTGATTTGCCATCATCAGTCAAAAGTATGTACGTGTGCCATTGTCCTCTAATGGATAGAACTTCAGACCTGGTCAAGTGCATGTGAGTTTTTGAGCACCCTACTGACTGCCCTACAGTGTATATAACCCCAAATGCAGCTACAGCTCACTGGACTTTACTTTAGCTCAAATGAAATAGTCCTTTGTAATGAATCTACAGTTTGATAGACAGTTTCTAGATAAACAAAACACATACATACAAATATGGAAAGCTGGGAATAGAAACCCTGCTCCTTCAGTTTTAAAAGTCAACTCTCTAAAAGGAGATCTCCTGTAGGTGACAGTAGCAGCAGTAGGTCCCTTATCCTTTGTGCATAGAGAATGACATCACACACAAAGCAAGGGTATGTTATACCTGTGCTCTTGGAGCCAAAAGTCCTGAGTGCTACCGTAATTCCACATGGTGCGCTCTGTTGTAGCCCCAGCCCCTAGTGCAATGTTTTGAGTAGTACCTTTCAGATGAGACTTTCAAAGGCAGGCAAACACAGTTCAGAAAAGAAACTGCTCTTCCAAAACCAGTGCAGATTACCTGATGGCTGCATCTGATTGTTTCTTCTCCTGTATCTTTTGCAGATTGATTTTGTAGCCCATGACGACATTCCATACTCCTCCGCTGGCTCGGACGATGTGTACAAGCACATAAAGGAAGCAGGTGAGGGCAATTTTCTGTTTTAACTCTCTCCATTTCAGCCTTTATTTAAAGCCCATCTATGTATTTTACAGCCGTGTAACCACACCTGCTGGAGGAGGGAAAACAGAGATAAATGCACATTCCTTTCTGGCCAGTCAACAAGTAAGTGCTGCTGACTTCAGCAGAAAGGTTCTTGAAACCACCGGTGATGCCCTGGGCTGGATAAACAAAAATAGGTTACAACTGTAACCTTCCGGAAGCCATTTGGTTTGGCGGTAAACATTCCTGCTTTGGTTACTGTTGTGATTTGTGATGGTTTGTAAGTAGTACTGAAATGCTGGAAAAGGAGTTTACTTCCCATGTACCTATAGTACCATGGCCAACATTAAGTCATCTGTTTTCCCTAGGCTAAGGTGCAGCTCTATTCTGACCCACAAGTGTGACTCCTATTATGGGGAAAATGTACAGTTAGCAATTAAAAATCATTAGGACCAGATACGCATTTACACCAAGGACCCTGTTACATGACTCTGGCACTGCAAGAGGGCCTTAAAGGAGTTTAATGTGGCCTTAGGATAAGTGAGAAAGAAGCTCATTCATGTCTGTCTTTGAGTGTGAGCCCCTTTCACATTCCTTCTCCAACCATAGTGCAGCTCAAACATATAAAACAGAAAGGACCCTTAATTTTAAATGAAGCAAATAGTAACTGTTCTTGCCACAGAGAGAACAGGCATGATTCTCCACTGCCTCGCACCATTTACATTTGCGGGTGTAAATCACATTGCTGGTGTAAATGAATGGATTAATCTGATCTGATGACACTGTTTAGCCACTTTGCACAGGCGTAAGACAATAAAGAATCAAGCCCTGCATCTTCCTCAGTGTCCATGGTAACAGCTGAGACCAGCTGAGCATAGCTTTCGTTCCTGGGGTGTAAGGATAGGTGTCTAGGTATTCTCAGTGCAGAGTCCCACGGTGTCGAATTTGCTCTCTCCCTTGGTCCATCAGGGACTCAGTTTGGTGGCCTTAATGAATTCTGTCAGCGCATGTTGTAATTGATCAGGGTTTGGTAGCTGTCTCCCACCGGGATAAACTAAATCAGTGCGCCCGCCAGTTGTCCTGGCCATATCCGGTCCTGGGTTACACTGTTCTCTTTGGGGCATGCTGGCCATCTCCAGGGCCACTGGCGGTTGTGCCATTCCAATCCCCACCCCTCCAAAGGCCTACTTTTCAACACCAGGGCCTTGCAGCCATAACCCAATATTAAATCAAGGCCACTGCGGAATATAGTATTTGCTAATCTTGTTTTCCTTTTCTTTTTTCTTGTTAACTGTTTAGTTTATGACAGATAGCTAACGAGTGAGTATGGATTTGTATGTGTATGCTGTTAAAGGTATACAATACATTACACAATGATATTATAGGCAGAACTGGTAGCACCACCTACTATGAAGGTTGCCGGACACTTCCCATTATAAGACCATGGTTTTGGTTGCTTTATAACTTTGTCAAACCGTAATCATTTGGGCTGAAGCTTTCCATGCTAAGGTATCCACCTCAGGCTGAATTTTTTGAAACATTTCAGCCAAAACAGTTTGGCCTTCTCCAAGAAAAAGGCGAGGGAAATACATGTTGTTTTACCCATGTTAATAAATTCTGGTGACCGTTTCTTTGAGAGGCTCTTGTGCCTCTATACTTTGGAGCAGGGACTTGAAATTCGACAAGCTGGGCAGCCGAGAAGCCTAGATTGCTGAGCAACTGGGAGCTGGGGCGCCCAGGCTCTCAGCTCCCTGTCAGTCCACCACACGGGCTGCTGAGGAGCCAGCAGGAGAGGTGGCAGGAAACCAGAAAGGTTCCAAAATCTGCCTGGCAGGAAGGCTTCTGTTGGAAACCTGCCTGGTTTCTGGCAGAATTTCATAGGAATTGAACTATCTCTACTGAACAAGAGATCTGAATTAAGATTGAACAGACGACCTTAATTCTGGCATTTCCTAACTTTTGAGTGCTTGACTTTGTAACCTCAATACTGTTCTTTTCGTATAGTTTTGGTGAGCGTAGCATATACAAACACAGTGGGTCAGGTTTTCAGAAGACCTCAGATCCCATTCAGGCATCTAAATGTCTAGCTGGATTTTCAAAAGTGCTGAACACTGACGCTACTAAGAGCAAGTTGAGCTCTTTTGAAAATCTGACCAATGTGCAGCATGGGCAAAGTTCCCATTGCGGTAGGAATGCCAACTTTTATACAAACCCCGAGTTCATTTTATTTCCCAGCAGTTTTCCCTCTCCTTTTCTTTAGCAAAAAGATATTTAAATATATTTCAAAAACTGTTTATTTCTATAGTACTCAGCACCATAGTATCTAATAAGTACCCAGGTAAACTAGATCTGCATTGGGAGGTCCATATTGGACTGCCTCTACCCTAGGTATGTTCATCCATAGAATCTGCCATGGAATATAGGCAGAAAAGGCCCCAATTTCTATTACAAAAATCAGTAAGGAGAAAAAAACAAATGCATAAAGAAGGCTTGAAAATTGTATCATAAAGCAACAAAAATAAAAGACACAAACCCATTTTCCCCCCTTCTCATGCCACCTTGAAGTCAGACAATTGACAGAATATTCCCCCTGCCATTCTAAATGAATGTTATCATGATAGGATGTTGCTCTTTTTCTCCATCCTACATCTATTTTAAAAAAATCAATCCTTTAAATGCCTTGCTGGCTTCTGTTACTGTTGTGATGCTCGCTGACTCACTAGATCTGCTGAGTCTGCTCTCTTGCACCTATGTCTCCTCCACGTCGGACAAATGATTTGCCATGTGATCTGTGGCTTCAGAGGCAGTAGATCCAGTCCAACTCTGAAGTGAATGGGACTCTTTGTATTTGTCTTTAATGGGAGATGGATTGGGCCCTGTCATAAATATAAAGGGAAGGATAACCACCTTTCTGTATACAGTGCTATAAAATCCCTCCTGGCCAGAGGCAAAATCCTTTCACCTGTAGAGGGTTAAGAAGCTAAGGTAACCCTGCTGGCACCTGACCCAAAATGGCCAATGAGGGGACAAGATTCTTTCAAATCTGGAGGGGGGAGAACAAAGGGTTTGCGCTGTCTGTGTGATGCTTTTGCCGGGAACAGATCAGGAATGCAGACTGACAACTCCTATAAAATTAGTAAGTAATCTAGCTAGAAAATGTGTTAGATTTTGTTTTTTTTAATGGCTTGTAAAATAAGCTGTGCTGGAGGGATTGTATATTCCTGTTTTTGAGTCTTTTTGTAACTTAAGGTTTTGCCTAGACGGATTCTCCATGTTTTGAATCTGATGACCCTGTAAGGTATTTACCATCCTGATTTTACAGAGGTGATTCTTTTACCTTTTCTTTAATTAAAATTCTTCTTTTAAGAACCTGATTGATTTTTCATTGTTCTTAAGATCCAAGGGTTTGGGTCTGTGTTCACCTGTACAAATTGGTGAGGATTCTTATCAAGCCTTCCCCAGGAAAGGGGGTGTAGGGCTTGGGGGGATATTTTGGGGGAAGATGTCTCCAAGTGGTCTCTTTCCCTGTTCTTTGTTTAAAACGCTTGGTGGTGGCAGCATACTGTTCAAGGACAAGGAAAAGTTTGTACCTTGGAGAAGTTTTTAACCGAAGCTGGTAAGAATAAGCTTAGGGGGTCTTTTATGCAGGTCCCCACATCTGTACCCTAGAGTTCAGAGTGGGGAAGGAAACTTGACAGGCCCTGTGACAAAAATTTAAACCATTGTGATGTCAAAAGCCTCTTTATCCTGAGCAGCTATCATAACACAATGAACACTGCAGAAGAGGGAAGCAATTAAACCTTCCTCCCACAGCTCTCTGGAGCAGACTGCTTCAGGCACGTGAGACTTCTCCCTCTTCCCAGCCTACATCAATGTGTGCACTCGAGAATTTCCTAGGGCCTCAGAATCTACTATGCGGTAATTTGCAAGTGTTAAGTGAAACGCTCACTGTGTTTGGTAACTATTACCTTGTAGTGAGCTAAAAGCATGAGCCTGTACGATTGAGCTAAAGTGCCAGGCTGTCAAACAGGGCGCTGTAACAGACTCACAACCTGTGAGGATTGGGAACAGAGGAGAACACACAATATGCAGTGACCAACAGGTTAATTATGTGTTGATTCCTTGAGGAATTCACATTGTCAAAAATGAACAGATTAAGAGCCTATTAGTCAAACATTACAGTATCATTACTAATCAGTCTTTGGCAAGCACTGACAGTGAGGGCTAATCTAGCAATTCTCAGGCTGCTGCATGGAGCCAACACTTACTTCTCCATTACTGTAAAACAAAGGTGTGACACAGTTCTGACAAGTAATTGTAACTTTTTCTTCACTTAAGTCACATAACCTAGGTCAGGTTTCAAAGGCCAGTCCCCATCACAAAGGGTTACTGGTACAATTGCATACTGCACTCTTCCCCTATGACCTTAGTTAGCTTTCTCAGGTACATTTGGTTAAAAAGGGAGCAGAAAAAGCCTTTACAATTTTTTTAATGGCCATTATTTGTAACTGGAATCAGTGCTGTGTCCATAGGTTTCCCAGTAACGCCACCTCTCCTGTTCCTATGGTCAGCCCAGCTTGCAGATTTAATTTTACATTAAAATCTCACGTTGGCTCTGGCTGAGGGGTTTCACTAGATAATTGAAGTAAGCAGATGTGTGTTTGGGATCTCTGAAGGGATGGAGGGAGATGGAATCTGTTCCCCAAGACTATGGAGCATCATGGCTGAGTGAAGAGAGCACTGAACTGGTGTCTATTCCAAGAGCTACTACTGGCCTGGTGTGTGGCAAGTCATTTCATTGCGCTGTGCCTCAGTTCCCACATGTGATGCCTACCTCCTTTGTAAAATGCTTTGAAATCTCCATAGGTGATATCCTTGGCCACCATATGAAAACATTATTACTGCAGTCAGTCCTCCTGGCCTGTGGGATTTGGTCAATGAACCTGCATAGTTGTGAACCTAGTCACTTCTCACTTTCCTTAGCCCCACAACCCCTTTCACATTGCCATGTAGAGAGTTGTTGGGGAGCAGTGCTGTGTATGGGGATTGTATAGCCCTTTACAAAAGTTCTCCATGGTCTGCACCCCTTCCCCTTCCATGTTTTCTGCAGCAAATTGGGTCTTCAACACCATGGAAAGGAGGCTAGGTTTGGTGCTGAAGAACAATAGCATTAGAACAGGTGAGGGGAATGGAAGAAAAGGAGACAACCAGATTTAATAGATGAGGAGAACCTTAATAAAAACGGACTGTATAGCTTTAAAGGAACTATGCAGTGGGCTCAGAAAATCCTTAATTTTTTTAATTGATGATTGATAGAAATGCAATAGATCAGAAAGTTGTATTGAACCATGCTTAATTTTATTTCTCAGTTTTGCAAGGTTATCTGTCCTACATATGCCCCAGACAGTCAGTAATGTGACTTGTTTAGCTAGTAACATTGAAGACCATTCAGTAAATGACTAACCAGCATCAATTTCCCATTTTAAGAAAAGTATGGGCTGATTCTCCTTTCCCGTCCACGCTTATCCTCACTGTGGATCTCTGTTGGATGTTTTGCACTTGATTCTTGCACCAAACTACCTTGGACAGCAGTAGAAGGTTCACACACAAAATGAATATGGGACAGGTAACAGAGATTAACAGCAGGTAAAAGCTGGTCAGAAGGGTGATTCTTGATCTCCTATTGTAAAGATAGCTTTGTTTAAGACAATAAAAAAATTTCAACTTCGTAGCAACCTGCATGAAACTTGGAAGGAGGAACACAGGTTACAGGAGGGAGGGTTTGGAGGAGGTGCCAAGAAGTCAGTCTGTGTGCACGTGGCTAGAATGCTAGCTGCAGATGCAGCATGTCTGCAAATAGTTCCCTTAATAAAGAGTCATTTTCATTCTAGAAACATAAGCATTGCTCTCCTACCAATATTACATGCCAGGGTCTGTTTGTGAAACCTGACTAAAAATGTGGTTTAAGCTAAATCAATTGTAAGCCAGTATTTTTTCAGGCATGCTCTTAGCTCTAACCTGTGCTTAGATATGTTTTACTGCTTCCCATAATAGCTTCCTTAGCAACTGCTGCAATTCTGAAAAGCATGCTAGGGAGAATATTGTGACAATGATTAAAACTGTTTAGCAGAATATTAATCAGAATATAGAGGGGGGAAATGATGTGCTCATCATTAAATCATGAGAGGTTGTTGCCTCTTGATTCCCTCCCTGAACCCTGTGAAATTGGGCTAACAATGCTTACTTATCTCTGTGACGAAGTGGGAATGTTCTTAATGTTTTCTCTGAATACTGTGTGGGTGCCTCAGTTTCCCCTATGCAGTTCTTAAGCATCTAGGTGGTGGGATAAGGGTGTGTGATTGTTGCAGAGCCCTAGAGGGCAAGTGTGATGGTGTATGCACAGAGAATGGCCGACACCCTGTCTTCTGGCAACTGATGGCCTGGGTCCCTCCTCTGCAATAGTGCCAACTGAAGGTGTTGGAGAACAAAGAGATCAGGTGGCCTCCTGGCCCGGGAAAGAGATAAAGGTGAGAGGAGGGATGGGAGAGTTTCAGTTTTGAGCTGGCTGGGGAAATGGAGGGGGGCCCAGTTGGGGCTCTGGCCTCCCTGCCCCTCAAGACGGACTGACTGAGGCGTCCTGGTTCCTGTACCTACAAGCTCTGTTTTGGACTGTGTTCCTGTCATCTAATAAACCTTCTGTTTTACTGGCTGGCTGAGAGTCAAGTCTGACTGCGGAATTAGGGTGCAGGATCCTCTGGTTTCCCCAGGAGCCCCGCCTGTGTGGACTCGCTGTGGGAAGTGCACGGTCTGGAAGGGGATGCTGAATGCTCTGAGGTCAGACTCAGGAAGGTCGAAGCTGTGTAAGCTTCTTGCTCTGGAGACAGTCTGCTCACAGAGAGGAAGCTCCCCCAGAGTCCTGACTGGCTTCGTATGGAGTAGTTCCAGAGCATTGCCCAGTATCTCCGTGACAACCTCACAGGGGCATTGTGAGGATTAATTACTTAATATTTGTACAATCCTTTAAGTCGTTAAGTAGTAAGTACTATTATTTCACAAGACTATTTCCAGTCCAGCCACACAACTCCGTATCACCTGCACTTTCCTATATAAACTGTTAAAACAAATGGTTGGATCTGGAGCTTTATTTGGCTTGTTTGGATACGGTTACTCTATTGGCCCTCGAAGTGCGGGCCCTTTGCATTTCTATCTGGCCTACATAAGTCTGGGCCAGACAATGCCCTGAGGTTCTCCTCCCTTTATTATTTAATATTTTACATATCCTTCCATCTCTATGACACTCTGAGTTGAAGGTGGGAGAACAGTGTTTTCTCAGTATAATGCCTCTCTGGGCTGTGAATCATTCACCAACAGTGCCTTTAAACTGCTCTCCCTTCCAAGTGGAAGTGTGAAACCTGAGCTCCGCTGGCCCAAGGCTCATGTAGTGGGTGGCCTAACCTCCGTCTCCATTACCTACTTAGGTCATTACTAGGGCTGTCGATTAATTGCCGTTAACTCACACTGAACTATCAAAGCCATTACTCTTTTTCCAGGTTGACCAGTAGAATTATTTTATTCAAACTAGTTTGCCTATCCCTAGATGAGAGCTTGGAATGCTTAACACAGTCATCTCTACTTCATAAGCCAGACACTGGCTCTACGAGTTGAGTTTTCATCTTTGCATGGTGTGCATTATTTCACTCAATGCTGTACAGAAGATGTATTCACATTTACTGCTAATATTGCTTCTGCCTCTGGCTTTATTTAACAGTACTCATGGGCTAGTCTTAATGGCAAACAGTTAAAAACTGGTCAAATATTTAGAGGAAATAAGCTAGTAATAATAATAAGTAGCGCTCTTCACCACCCCGGTTGTACTTCCTCTTCCTGTGAAAGAGTACAAGCAAACAACACTTCCTTTGTACTACCCCTTCAGCGCAATAGAGAATCTCTGCTATACGAGAGAATCAAAGAGCTCAAGGGAATGAGAATAGCAATAGAGAATAACAATTTGCCCATCTTCAATCTAAAGATCTTATAATGCCACAGACAGCCAACTAAACCTCACAATAACACTGGATGCTGGCAAATATTATACACGTTTTACAGGCTGAAAAAATGAAGCACAAAGCAACTAAATGACTTCTCCAAGGTCATACAGGAAACCAGTGGCAGACCCAGGATTAGAACACATGAGTGAAATCCTGGGCCCATTGAAATTAATGGCAAAACTCCCATTAGCTTCAGAATTTCACTGCATATCTCTCAGCTCCCAGTTACCCACCTTATCCACAGGAGCATTCATGCTAAAACATGCATCCCTGCCTAACTGCTGTGATGTCTTGTCATGTCATTCATCTCTCTTTGCTTTCCACTTTCACCAGGAATGTTTGTACCAACACAGAGAACTGAAGGTATCTCAACATCAGACATCATTACTAGAATTGTACGAGACTATGATGTCTATGCCCGACGCAACCTCCAAAGAGGATATACCGCCAAAGAGCTGAATGTTAGTTTTATAAATGTAAGTAAGCACATCTTCTCTTCTCCCTCTTCTGATAGGGTTTCCATTAGAAGCCCAACCTTGGAGTAGGGTTTAAGATGCACAAGAGGAAAATTAGTGTCTTTGACATGGGAGATGAAACAGAGCAGGAGTTAGTTAAAACTAACTGGGAAAAATGAACATTGGTGGGCTTGAGATTTATTTTTAAGAAGTCCTGGCAAATATCAGTTTCAAATATACCACTTGGCATAGTTCTTGGAAACTGTAGCTCTTTAAGTAAAGCCAATACTCCCAATTTCCCATTATGTTTCTGAACTACTGCATACTTCTCATGGAGCTGCTGATAATTTAATAACACTGCCGCTAAAAAAAGCTTCCAATCAGGTAAGGAAGACAGTCACAGTCTCTCCAAAAAGCAGCCTGCAGTTTGACTTTGTTTCCTTATTGTTGCTGTGATGTGGCCAAATGCCAGAGATCAGAAGGAAAAGGCGTGGAAAGCACAAGTGTCTGCAATCAATTTTCTTCCTCTACAAAGCAATTACATTGAAGAAAAGAAAAAAAAGATGTTATAGTAAGCTTAAAGGGTCCAGTGTAAGCCCAGGGGGTGAAAAAGGAAATCTGTGGTGAGCCACTGTTTTGACAAATTTTGCAGAAGTCAGAGAGCAGTGTGTCAAGTCATATAACGTGTGACACAAAACCTAAGCAGAACGGAATGAATTAGAGAGCTAATATGAAAGCTCAGAGGTTGCTGAGGATTGCTCTGGAGGATTAAGCAGCGTCTAATGACAGAACTCTCTGTACTGTCCAGGAGAAGGGTAAAGAGGTGAAGGAAACATAAGTTTCCCTTCCGCCATTTTCTCTTTCAAGTCTTAGCAGCATAGCCCCGGGAAAGTGACAATGCTGAAAAGCTCCTGTGCCATATTACAAAAGGACATTGTGAATGGCTACAGCTAGTTAATGAGAAAAAATGTTAAAGGAAGGACAGTGCATCACAAAATGTCCTTCTCCTGTTTATTTGCCATGTACAGGATCGTTGTATTTATTTCATTAGCGCTCACTTTAGCACTTTGCTAAAGAGAAACACTTAAGCAGATGTCTAGCCAATTTTGAAAAAAATGAGTAAAAAGTATTGTCAAGTCTTACACCTTGCCAATTTTTGTGGGATTGCAATTATATTTTCCTACTTTTTCTTTAATAATCTATCCCCCCTTTTGCTGTGTCAAAGAGCCATATGAGCAACAGGGGAAACTGTAAATAAAATGCTATCAGGTCACAAAGTAGGCAATGGGGGGGGAAGATTTTTCTCCCTCCAAATGTTCATTTACAGTAATCTGAAGTGTTACTTGTTCCAAGAGCAAACAAACTTATTTCAGACAGACATGTAATTTTGAAGAGTGCCCCCTTAAATATTTTCTAAGCAATGAGGACAGACTGTGTGTGTGGGATTAGACCCTGGGACTTGCACTGGGAGTTAGGCACCTATCTTGATTAGGCACTTTGGTAAGTCCCATTCAGTGGTTAATTTGTATCAGGGCTTGCCAGGGCTGAGCCCCGGCATCTCTCGGCTTGGTGGTTCATAGCCCCAGCACCTCTGGGCTTGCCGCGTCAGTAAAAAGTAAAAAAAACTGCTTGAGCCCTGGCACCTCTTTCATTACAAATTAAGCACTGGTCCCACCAAAGGCCTGTCTGTCTCTTTAGGCACCTAAGAACCTTTGTAAATCTGGCCCTTTCTCAAGCCAAGGAATGACAGGCTGAGTGGCACAATTCTCCCGTACTTGAGATAGAATAAATCAGACAGTCTATAGATTTTTTTGTAATATGCACCTCTCAGCTGGAGTTGGAAACACAGACATAGGCATTTTCTTGGTCTTTGTTTCATATTTCATTTCATTTCGGAGCACTGGATCTTATATTTCCCACCTGGAAATGGCACATCATGAAGGGGCTCACTAATTTAATTCAGGCAGTGACTCAAGATTTATCGGTCATTCCAATTTAGGTGGATCCTTGGGATCCTTAGATTTTCCCTCTGAACCTTCATTCTCAGTCCAGGTCTACTGTACTGCTAGTTTCTATGTTCATGTTTGAGGTGGGAGTAGGGGCATCTTATGTATCCTTCTTTTAGACCTAGAGGCTTCCCCATATTTTCCCTGCTGTAACTATCCACGCAGGAGGATCAATACTGCAGCCATCATTCAGACAGAGGAACACTGGGTGTGAATTTGCTTTGGAGCTCATCAAATCTGTTTCTTAACTGGTCAGAGGGTATTACTGTTGCATAGCACATGCGGCATTTCTTCACCCCACTTCTAGAGACTCAGGCTATGGCTACACTAGCGCTTTTGTCAGTCAGGGGTGTGAAAAAACACACCCCCTTACCAACATAAGTTACAGCGACAGGAGCACCGGTGTGGTCAGTGCTGTGTCGGTGGGCAACGCTCTCCTGCCATTATAGCTACTGCTGCTCATTGGGGGTGGTTTAATTATGCTTACAGGAGAGCTCTCTCAGGCTTGCAAAGAGCAGCTACATGGATGACCTTAGCCTGTCGCTGCAAGGTCTGTAGCATAATGGTGTCAACCTAGCCTAATGCGTTCTGAAGTCCCTGCTGGCCTAGGGTTACACTAGTTTAACAAAAGGAGTACTTGTAGCACCTTAGAGACTAACCAATTTATTTGAGCATAAGCTTTCGTGAGCTACAGCTCACTTCATCGGATGCATCCAATGAAGTGAGCTGTAGCTCACGAAAGCTTATGCTCAGATAAATTGGTTAGTCTCTAAGGTGCCACAAGTCCTCCTTTTCTTTTTGCGAATACAGACTAACACGGCTGTTACTGTGAAACTAGTTTAACAGGAGACGCTCTGCTCTTCTCCAAGGGCTTCTAGTGTTTCAAAACAAATAAAAGGGACCAGTAGACAATCAAAATGCTGGCGTTCCTAAATTAAGGCTTGGTTGCTTATGTAACTGTGGGGTTTGGGGTGGTGGGGTTATCCTGATTTAGCCACTTTGGCTAGTCCTACTAAGCTGAAAAACAAATGCTCCTGTGTCCTTTTGAATTTCTGTGTCAGCAACAGCTTGGAGGTGCTAATATTTTGAGTTTAAGATAAAATGCAATTGCTAGTTCCATTAAATGTTTAGCATAAAAATGACTTAGTAAAAGTATGGGCCTATGTTAGAACTTGTAAACTTTGAAGCACACGTCAACTCTGAAAGTAGCTCTAAAATGGCATTGTAGAGCTCCTTTTTCACTGTCCCATGGTGCTAATTTTTAAAAGTTCAAGTGCACAGGTGTGTGTGTGGGTGGGTGTGTGGGGTGTGTGCACATGCGTCTACTTTGTGTACTTACCATAACTGCCTGCTCAAATTGGATATTTAAGCATGCAGATAACTAACGAGCTGCACCAGAAGCACAAAACTAATTTGCATCTGCAATGTGGGAATTGTGCATGTAAATCAGGTGTGTGAATGCTCACATATTTTGGTGTATGCATTTGCATGGCCACATTTGAAAAATCAAGACCTCAATGACTCCCTATCATATCTGATTAATTAACAGGTTTACAAAAAGTTTTCTGAATGCCAACCCTGAAAACTCAAACTGGAAGCTGGAAGTCAAGCTGCGTATTTTCTGGCTTGTTCTTCCTCACAACTAATAAAGATTCTGCAACTGGACTTCAACAATTCTACTGATGATGCTTGAGCTGGAATAAAATCCATCTCACACTCACCTAACTGCAATACTAACAAGACCAGCAAGGAAAATATGACTGGCTATACATAGGAAGTAGATTCTCTTGAGTCATAAGATGCCAAATTTACACTCCCACTTCTTCAACCAAAGCTGCACTTTTATAGGTTAAGCTGCCACAGTGGAGCTAAAGAACATTTGTCTTAGAGGAAAATTAATTAGTTAATTACTGTGTAATCCAGATTTACTCGAATTCCAGTTAACTGAAGTTCCCAGGCCGCCAAAAGTTGGTTGTGAACTGACTGAAGCTCTGCTCCTACAGAGCTCATAAGATCTCCAGAGACAGAGCTTCAGAGCCTTTAAGCTCTGCATGACTGGCTGTGCTTCTGAGGAGTTTAGAAGCTTTTCAAGACTAAAGCTTTGAATCTGAGGCACTTAGCAGCGCTGAGAGCCCATTCTTTTTCTCTTCCGATGAGCTGAGCGGATCTCTGAACATTGATTCTTTCCCTCCACTCCTCAACTGTTTGGTCAGCTAGCCTTCTGGCCTAGACAAACCTCTCAGGTATAACCAGGGGACCGCTGATTATCCAAAGCCACAATCATGAAGATTCTCTTCTGTTTTGAAGAGATCTCTTCACAGGAGATACCTTGGACTGGGATAGCATCAGGGCTGCAAGCCAGTATTGGGATGCACTGGCAAGAGAGTGTGGGGAAATTTGCATGTTGCCTGCTACAGGCCTGGGTATTAGTTCTTTACTTGCACGAATACTAAATTGACATTATTTTTAAAGAACACTCTATTTTAATGTATCTAGAACTCTGTTTTTCTACTGGGGAACATAACACATGATAAGCACTAAATGATAAATATTTTCAGAACAGCCATACATTTACATATTAAAATATTACACAATAGTAGTCAGAAAAAGCCCTGTGTATTTAAGCACAATTAACAAGCTTTCTTCTTTCCCCAAACCCACTTGATAATTTTTTTGTCTGTCCACACATACTTTTCAAACAGGAAAAGAAATATCGCTTTCAGAACCAAGTAGACAAAATGAAAGAAAAGGTGAAAAATGTAGAGGAAAAATCAAAAGAATTTGTTAATAAGGTGGAAGAGAAGAGCCATGACCTCATTCAGAAATGGGAAGAGAAGTCCAGAGAGTTCATTGGCAACTTTTTAGAGCTGTTTGGACCCGACGGAGCTTGGGTAGGTACTTCATTCCAGGAATTCTGTCTGCCTTCGATTTATTCTTAACACAGACCCATAGCAAGTGCTTTTGCTGCAGTCTTTGTTTTGAAAGCCAATCTAGCAGGTCAGTGCCAATTCCACTCATTTCATCCCACAACATGTACTAGAACCACAGTGCAAACATCTCCCGCTTCCAATGTCCTTTTCAGGCCAATTTCTGCATTTGTATTTTTAAAAGGCACTACCAACATTATGTAGTGACCAAGTATGTTACAGTGTAAGACTGCATTAGGTAGTACTGTGTATTAACAGATACATTGTACATTTATACACAGAGGCCTATTTCCCCCTCCCTCCCGCATCATCAATAAACAGGAGTTATGCACCTATACCAGGGAAAGCTTATACTCCAGAAAATGGCAATAAAGAGACAGGGAAACATTAAAAATCTGAATTTGGCAATATTTTAAAATAGCATAATAAATATAAAAATGGTCATGTTGTAGTCAGGTGTAAATTTATACTGAGAAATTATTTCAGTCCCTAATAATCAGACTCATAGGGATGCCTGCAGAGAGATACACATCTTAGGCCAGGCTTCAAGATGCACTTTTGTAAGTCACTTCTTTTTGTGAACAATTGACCCAGCCACTTTCATCCAGAGATTTCATGGAGCTTCCCAAAGGTGGTCATAGGATTATTTACAGTTCTCGTTTTACAGCTGGGGAGACTGAAGCACAGAGGGGTTAACTGAGTCACACAAAATTGCACCTCTGGGCCTACCCTTTCCTTCATTCCCCACGTTTGTTACTCTAATTTAGTGTGTCATGTCTAAAACTGGACTGTAAGCTGTTCAGAACAGAGAGTGTGGCTTATTTGTTAGGTAGAGTGCCTAAAGCCAGGTCTCCACTGCAAACTTTTGCCAACATAGCTCTGTTGGTCAGGGGTGTGAAGAGATGTGAGCTGATCGGTGCAGCTGTGCCAGCAAAAGCCCCTAGTGCAGAAGCAGTTATACCAGCAAGCATGTGCTTTTGCCAATATAGTTCATTTCATGTGGCTGGAATAAGCATTACTGGCAAAACTGCTTTGCTAAGATAAGTGGCATCTGCACTATACTAGGCCATGCTCTGAGTCATTGGCTGAGCTAGGAATAGAGGCCAGGGCCTTGACTCAGTTCCCTGCTCTAAGCACTAGAAAAAATACCATTGAGAAATATTTTATCTTCAACATTAGATATTTTTATAGACTGAAATTCCTTAGTGAAAAGCAGTTGGCTAAAACTCCTGCTAAAGAATATTTGTTGGCTCTCTGATTTAGGATGGCAGATGCAGAGTAGGAAACCAGATGTAATTTTATGCAGACACATTTGCAGAGCAAAGTCCCATAAAAGCCTCTGGTAAAGAGTGAAATCAGAGCTGGCACTGTTCTAAGGAAAGCTTTAGTGACAGTGAACTGAGGTGTTTTCAGAAATCATCTTCAGCCTGGCAACTGGAAATTGGTTGGTTTTTTTAATAATGATAACTTGTTATTAGTGTCAAAACTGTTATTAACATTAATTTGCCACATCATTGTTAGTTAGATGTTGCTTTGAATGTTGACATTAAAAGTCCAGGAATAGTTATAGGCATGTTATATTCCTAGATCAGTAATTTGCATTCCATTAATATGCTATTATTATAATTACTATTTGTGAAATAATACACTTTGTGCTGGCATCCCTTTTCTAAAAGATAAACTAAGGGCTGGGCAACCCACTTAAAATCATATATAATTTCTGGAAAAGGTTAAAATGCTGTTTTTCAAAATTGCAAAGGATGGATAGAATTCATTTGAGAATTTGTTCACCAAGATAGTTTTATACACAGTTTATTTCCTTCAGATAGTCCCACAGGTGCTGTGATACAATAATAGTGAATGTGATATAAAACTCTAGGAAAAGAGCCAGACCGAAAGCGGTCTTGCAATCTCACACTTGTGTAGTGCAGTACAACGTAAAGCAGATAATGAGCAAGTTCCCTGCACAAACCTGCTGGTGGTGTGAGTATTACAGCCTCTGCTGCTCTGGGCTGAACTATTTGAAGAAAGATGTTCAAAAAGGTCCATGTTTTTAAAAAATAAAAATGGTTACAAAAGTCCCTCAGAAATAGAGCAACATTATAGGAAACTAGTTTAAAGAGCAACCTTGCTCAGTTCCCCAACTGGGACATCTCAGCTTGTGGAGAGCAATCCTGATCATTGCTGGAAATATGTTTGACTGGCCAGAGCCTGAAGTCAGTCATATGTGGGCTTCAGGGTCCAGATTGAAAGTATATTGTGCACTAAATGCGGGATCCTGGATTTTGATTAGACTGACCGTAAACTGTGGCAGTATGACCCCACTGAAATGTCCATAGTGTGTTGTAGAATCAGAAGCTCAAATAGCAGCAGCTGCAGACCTTCAGAGGGAGTTTTCCAATGCTTAGGTTCTTTACCTGGTCACTTTTATTTTGTAAAGAAAATGAGACTTCCATACACAGTAAATGCAACTTTTGCACAGCCCCATAGAACTTCCTAAACCCAACAAAGACTCTTGCACCAATACTTTACAGAGCCAGACCACATCACTTTCCTCTCTTAACCCTCCACACTAAAACCCCTCATTGGGACTGCTACTGAAACTGATTGTGATGCTGCTACAGGCTTGGGATCTTTGCCAGCATTGATTACATTCTGACAGCACTGGACTAGTCACACTATTGACCCTTTCCTGCCCGAACCGGTCCTCTACTTAGCAGGCTGGAAGCTACTGCAAAGAGCAAGAACTTTCTGCTAGCCCAGGAGATTTACAAAGCATTGAATAGTTCAAACCTAGAGAGCAGGACAGGAGTAGAGACACATGGCCATGGGTGTGGGAGGGATACCAACCTGAATATTGTGCTGAAGTTGAATTTACTGGGGTTGTATCCTCTTCTACCATTTGGTTTTGCAGCTGAAGGCAGAGTGTGACATTAAGTTGATAATAGCTAGTTAATTTTTAGAGTTCTATTCAAATAGAAGATAAAATATAAGGTTGGTGTGGGGGCTCTGGAGTTAATTGAGATTTGTTATTCTAGTTTGGTACTTCACTCCCTGGGCCAGTAGCAACCAGGAGCGTGGTGGAAGAAACTAGCTTAGTCCCCAGAAGTCAGAAGGGCCTTCCATTCATTTCAGCAATGCCTCTCGCTGCTGTTGTAGTAGATCTGACAAGCTCCAAAGGGAGCCATCCAACCTTCTTGGCCAGAAGGAAGGTCACCACAGCACAAGATCTTGATGACTTGGGGGAAAAAAACCAAATTGAGAAAAATCATGGAATTCTTGGGTCCTCCAAGAGGAAAAGAAAAGCAGAAAATACTCAGCAAGCTGTATGATCAGAACATTGCTAGCTACTAGCTACTTATGGTTTTTGAAATCATACTAATTGTTATAGTATGTGAGCACCTCATACACATTCATAGATTTATCCTTCTCATAGCCCTATGACTGGTCTAATAGAAAAGTATTGCTATCCCTGATAGAGAATAGAGCTATAGCATGACTGAGCAATTTACATAACCACACAAGATGTCTGGGCACAGCTGAAATAGATGATCTCCTGTATTCCTGTACTTCAGCCATGAGGCCATGCATGGCACTAGAAACATATGATGTGCCATATTAGAGCAGGTCATTCATTCATCTAACCCTTATTCTGCCTCCAGCACTGGCAAGTACCACATATTTCAAAGGAAAGTTAAAAACCAAATCATAACACACCTTGCCAGTTATTCCTCTTTAGAGCAATGGAAAATGAAATCCAACCCAAGGTTTTTGTTACGATTTCTGGCCTGTATTTGTATGGGTTATGTGTGTTGTGGTTAGATGTGTAGATCCAGCTGGTATTCGGCAGGCACAGAATTGGAACTCTAGCACTGAGCAGGAGGGGGACACATCTCCATCTTCCGTGCAGCAGTGGAAGCTAGCCATGAGAGGGTGGGGCAGGATTCATCTGGAGATTATTGTCCAGCTCTGACCAGGAGAAGTTCTGGCAGCAAAAAGGGCTCAGAGTTTGGACAGAGAGAAAACCAGCTTCATGAGACAAAAGGTGACCCAAAAGCTTAACACTGCCAGATGAAGTTGCGGCTAGTTGGCAGAGAGCAAGTCACGCAGTTTTGTTGGACAAGAGCTGGCTGACAAGGCCTTGACTTGCTGTGCAGAACTGTTAGCTAGAAAGCGCTCTTCTTATTTTGCGTGGAAATACTCTGGAGGAGGAAGCCTTGGGGCAAAAACTTAAGGTGTGCTTTTAAATCATGTTAGTTAAACTGGTGTCAAAGGCTGTGTGGACACACTTATTTTGGCTTAAACTAGGCTTATTTAGGTTCGTTAGCCAAAAATAAGAGTTTGCACCAGTTTAGCAGGTTCGTGGTGCAACTTTTGCAGGTAGATAAGGCCTTATTCTTTTCATTAGAACTCGGGCTGCAAGCAGCCACTTGCTCTGTGCAGGCTAAAAATATAGGGCATGTGCGAGCAAACACATTTTAACTAACCATCTTTCTAAACAATGGTGTAAACAGGGTTTAACACCTTTCAAACCGTGTTAGTGGGTTGTGGTCCAATCCTCGAAGGAAGCCCAGAAGGGGACAAGGTTGTTAACATTGTTGTCAAAAGTGTCAACCCTGCCTCTGCTGCTGTTTAGAAACATGTTAGTTACAATGTGTTAGCTCACACATGGTCACACCTGAGCTACACTTTGCCCTGAACAAGAGCACAGTCCAGCTGCAAGCTGTTGAAAGAATTACCAATACAATTCAGTGACTCAGGCAGCAGTAAGAGCTCCAAAAGAAGTATCCCAGACAGCACCTTCCCCACTCCACCTTGAAGGTTAAGCTCCACGTCTCCTTTGTCACAAACTTAACAGTACATTGCTGCTCTCAAAAGTGACTACACCAAAATGTGGCATCTTGTTTTGCTCAAAAGATCTATTCCATGGGTGAAGTCAATGGAGAACTTCCTACTGACTTGAATAAGGTCAGGATTTCACCCCATACTTGTATCCAGAGTCATCTCCGCTGGCTACAACAACAAAGTGAAGGCCGGTTTGTACACACATCACATAAGCGTAGTCCCATTGACTTCAGATGTGAATAACCAGGGCCGTCTCTAGGGAAGTGCGGGGCCTGGGTGGAAGTGACTAATCCGTCACTTCTGGGACCGACTGCACCGGCTAATTGCACTGGCCCACATGGCCCCCCAAAGTGTGGGGCCCGGAGTGGTTGCCCCGATTCGCCCTACCTAAGGGACAACTCTGTGAATAACCACCAGGTTGCCCAATCTGACTTTATATTTCTCTGACTGACTCCTGTTGGTACAGTGGAGCCAGCCCAGCTAAGCGAGAGTGAAACGAAGTCTGTTCTGGCTCACCCAGGAATCGAACAACTAACTAAATTCTGCCCTCAGCGTCTCTGCAGAGATCTGCAGGATGTGTAGTGTAGCTGGAAAGCTCCCAGCAGCACTTTTGCATCCACACCAGTTTGCTGGGTACCCAAACCATTTGGCTTGTAAAGTGTGAGCATTTGCCTGGAATGAGTGAGAGGCAACAACACAGGGGACTCCAGGGTGCCATTTTGACTGGCCATATTTCAGAGCAGAAATGCATGTTAAGCCTCTCCCTTTCCTCAAGGTCAAAGAACCTCTCCCCTTATGTAGGTAACTATCCCCAACTGGCCTCCCAGCACCCAACCCCCTGGTTGTTGTGCCTGACTCACACAGTCTCTTTTTCAAACTGCTTTTCAGAAACAGATGTTTCAGGAGCGAAGTGGCCGAATGCTCCAGGCCTTGTCGCCGAGGCAGAGCCCAACCAGCAGTCCAACGCGCGGCCGCTCTCCATCCCGCTCTCCGTCGCCGCCCTCCCCCTGGGTGTTCAATAAAGCCTCACCCCCTTCCTCTCCGAAAGCGGCCTCAGCCTCCATCAGCAGCATGAGCGAAGGAGATGAGGATGAGAAGTAAAGAAAAATAAACAATTAAAAAAAAATAAAGATACCACCACTCATATAACCTGCAGGTGGCTAGGAGGAGAGGAGCTACATACAGCTGTTTCTAACAGAGGCGAGTGCACTGTAGGAAAAGGCATTGCAAGGAGAGTGGTGCATTGCAAGGGACGAGATCTCAGGAACAGCTCATCTCTGCCCCATGGGGGCTCAGACACACTTGGACAACCAACACACACATGACCTTGGAGTAAGTACCTGTCACTAGTCACCACTTGCTGCAGCTGCTAGGGCCAGACAAGAACCTCGGGGAAATTGCACTCAGGGGAATATTCAGCCCCTGAGCTAGGCTGAGTCAGCATGGGCACAGCAGCAGCACTGCGTGAAGAGATAATTGAGCCACTTCTGGACTCTGCATGTACCTTGGGTGACCCGACAATATTAGGGGCTTGCTCTTCCATAGGCATCTATACCTCCACCTTCGGAAAAAAAATGTGTCCTGATTTTTCACACTTGCTCTCTGGTCACCCTACTAAACTTGAGCCCTGCCAGTGTGATGTCACAGCAGCAAAAAGCTTCTTTGTTACAGGAAATGTGGTTTTTTTTCTTTCAAAATAAAAAAAGCCACCAAAAAACTAAACCAGGCCAGTGCAACAGGGATCTGGCCAGTCGGCACTGGAGATGCATTGAACAGATTGAGTTTAATGAATGTTTGCTGACCAGGCCTTTGTCAGGGCATGTGCAAAGGTGAATATAGTGTGAATCCAATTTGCTTTAGCAAATCTCACTCCTTGTTCCTAGTGCCTCAGAAGCCACCTGTTGTGTTCTGGTTTTCTTTGTGACATTGCTTTGAAGGTTGCAGTGTAGGACAGTGAATGTTCTAGCTGGGATTTCTTGTCTGGGGGGAAAATATTTTAAAGAATTGGGCTGTTTTAGTGATCACCTTAAGAATACACAGGAACCAAAGCCCCTCAGCCACACTTCTCCTGGGACTACCACGCCTTTGGAGATGTCAGTTATCAACCGACTGTCTATGCAACAGCGTTTCTACCCATCCCATGTATCAATCAGATCAATTTTAAAACTTTTGGCATATCTCTAAACAAGACAAAAGCATATACGGACTGTACTTTTTTACAGCTATGTATACAGTACATGCATGCACACATATGGATATGCATTCCCAGTCTGGGATCCAGTTAGCTTCCTGCTGGCAACTGCCTTTAATACATCCAAACATGGGGAGCCCAGCTGGAAAATAACGAAACTTTATACATAGAATTGGATGCTGGTGTTTTCTCTCCTTCCCTCAGAGCATCCTCATATCCCTAACGGAGCCACAAAAACATCAACTTTAAGAAATTTTCTCCTTCTTTTTACACGATCATGTTGAAATCACCAGCCTCTCAGCTCAGCATGAGATGAGACTTCCCTCATACTCCATCTACGCCAGATCAGCAACCACTGGGAGGGGTGGCTGTTGGATTGTGTGACATACCGCTCTGTGGCTGGCTGAACTACCTCCCATAAGATTCCCGTGTTCCTCCCAGCCTGGAAAATTAGATTAGAAACTGATCAGACAGCACTACAGAGAAATGATCTGCTCGATCCACCTCTACAGCAGGGGTCCCCAAACTGTGCAGCATGCCCCCCTAGGGGGCCCAGGAGGAACATTTGGGGGAGGCAGCCCCCACAGGGGCAGCGAGGGAGCACCACCCAGCTCCACTCCCACCCCGCCCCTAGCTATGGTCCCAGCCTTGGCTCCCTTACTCCTGTCCATGTCCCCCACTCCTGGCCCCAAGGGGGGGCACAAGGTAAAAAGTTTGGGGACCACTGCTCTAGAGGCTGCTGTACTGGACCTACTTATGTTCTTATGCTGGCATGTCAAGTGTTTCTCCATCCAGTCCACTGAGTGGTTTGGGCACCAAACCAGCAAGGCATACTAAACCTGCAATAAATTCCAATTTGCAGCCTGCCCGGCTGCCAGAACAAGGAATGGCATGGACAACAGTAGCCAAAAGCCAACTGCTTCACTTGCTTCCTTCATGCTGCGAGCACATCACAGTGTGAAAGTTACTGTAGATTTTAGTATTCTTCATTTTGTTGGTTTCCTGTACAGACAGGACAACACAGCTCCAGTGGGAAGGAGAGAGAGACAGGGGGATTAAAAAGGGTGAGATCAACCAGCAAAAGAAGAGGACTTTGCTCCAGCTCATGAAGAACAGACTAACAGTAACATTTCAGAGAGGCATCAAGAATAGGAGTTTGTGAAAAACAGGTGTTGGTGTGTAAATGTACAGTGTGTGTTCATGTATATCAAGGTCCTGGCAGCAGTTTACCCTCTGGCTGCATTCCCTTTCCCTGCAGAGTTAGAAATTATTGGTAATGAGCCCCACCCTCAGCGGTTTCCAGGTGGGCCACTGAAGGACTCTAGCACCAGGCCCCCAAGCCAGCCCCGTGTTTTCCCTCTATTAGCCAAGTACTCCGTTATCCACCCAGCAAGGCCTAGCTGATTGTTCATATGCAACCTCAGCCCAGCCCTTATCTGACTCTCTCTCCAGGAGAGACATCCTTGCTGAGTAACTGGTTTTCTGGAGACACCACCAGTCCCTTTACAGAGTTGCAACAACAGGCAGCTATCATGGTACCAGGGGCACTCACTGCTTTTTACTAGTGAGAATGACAAGAGGGCCACAGTGTCTGGCTGCCACCTGCCCTGTGAGAGAGGATAGTGTAATTAAAACCTTCCTGTTCACCTTAGGCAACCAGCTACTGTAATTTCATCCCTAGGGTGTGCTTGTTTGTTCTTCTGATTTCTCCACTCCTCAGTTTTTCCCATCACAAACCACCCCTTCACAGTGAGAACAGCCTGCTCTCTACGGTGCTGTTTATACCAAGAAGCCCTGTCCAAATGAGATTGAGGCTGTCAGGGTTGGTGGTTTTTTTGTTGTTCAAACAATGCCCTCTGTTCAGCAAAGTTTTGGAGGAAAATTAAACTGCTTGGCTAGTAATGGGAAACAGGACAGACACTCACCAGAATGACCTCATTTTAAGCTTAACTATTGCTCCCAGAGTCACGTGTGGTTTACCGAGTGACAAAGCCATATACCTGTACCAGACGTGTGGTCTGCGTTTGGGATAAGACTAAGCCCGAACGCCTGTTCTCTTAGTAAGGATACCACCCTCCATGCGTATATCCACCATGCACAGAGAAGACAGGCAACCTCCTTACCATCTCTGGACATACAGATGATGATTTGCACTTTTTGGTCATCACTGGGTTTCATTTTTTATTTTTAACAAGTGTTGCTTTATTGTGTTCCTATTTATAAGCCCAAGCTCCATGGGGAAAATAAATTAAATACAACAGAGAGTGCAGGTTGCCTTCTTTATTTTACTACGGCTCTGCCGGAACGTTCTTTGGTAACATCAAGCCCATGTTCTAACCCCAGTGGCTCCATTATGGACATCCCCTGTCTCTACAGCCACAATACTAAGTGAGCTGAAAAACAGCACAGCCAGCCATTCTGACTTGTCCAAACCCCTGCTGCTAAACTCATCCACCTCCCAATTGTCTCTCCTATTAGCTCCTTGCCAACCTTCCTCTTACTCTTAGCTTTGCAGTGTATGCCTTGTGTTTCCTTTACGCCAAGCACCTGCCTTCACCACCTACAGACCCATTTCTTCCAGGAGTTTGTCCTGTGTGGCTGTCTTCAGTATTGCTTCCTCCCTCACCTGCACCGCTGTCCCATGTTTTGTCTCGTCCCAGATAGACTGTAAGCTCTTCAAGCAGGGAGTAGCCATCTCTTATATATAGTTATACAATTAATTAAAGAGTAGAAAACAGGATTTTACTCTCTTTCTGCTACAGTATAGCTTCTGTTAGACGGCACCCATAATTGGTAGGCATGTAACCTTTTAATTAATTTCCAATTAATATTAAGTTGTTAAAGATAAGGGCGCAATAAAACCCAGCTTAGCTTTCAGGTTCAAACGTCTAGGTCAGTTACAGAAAATGTATTTAGAGAGGACCACTAGGAAACACTTTAGGGATAGCACTGAACTTTATTCAAAAGGAAGATGATTAGTTAGGCAGATAGGCATGCAGTTACCACATACACAAACACTCACACTCAAAGATGAAATGGTGTATTAATGATCAGTCCACTGACAAGAATGAAGTACTGTACACCTTGTAATCCTGGAAACACCCACCCCTACCCATGATGTTAATTGGAACTCCCATGCAATTAGCAAAACTACTTTTTATACTTCATAACTCTGCTAATTAACATTAAACTCCCCTTCATCATAATTATATTGCCACAAACTTATTGGCTCTTTATATTATACATTATTTAAATTAACAGCTGCATCAATGTCCTTCCCATACTATCAATATAGATAGCATTTTAATCAAACTTTTATAATTCTTAAAAACATTGAAAAACCTTGCTTCAACTAGCTATAACAAAACCATAATGGTCATGTCTTTGCTAACTCTTACTTTCCCATAACGCACTTTCTCCAACTTGCCTTTAACTTCTCACACTAGCATCTTCAGTTTCCTGTATTCCTCTCCACTGAGGCTCCTAACTTCTACTTATTCTTAACCCAAACCATCCGATAGGCTACAGGTGCAATGAATTTAAAATAATGCAATTCTAAAACATCTGGGCATTTATATTCAAGAATCAGTCCCTACCCTTAGTGTAGACATGGAAAAGTTAGTTTCCACATACAAGACTATTTCCTTCCTTTGTCAAGTTCACCACCACTAGGTTTGGGCCAAGGGTGCTTGCTCTTGGCTGGGTTTTGGAGGATCTTTTGTTGCTGGTTTTGAAATAGATATTTCATCTACTCCCTTTCCTCCCCCCCCACCTCTTTATTACAGCTTCTCCCTCACTCCCCTCTCGCTACAAGCCCTGATTCAGCAAAGTATTTCAGCATGTGTTTAACTTTGAAGTCAATGGGACTGCTTACTTACTTAAAAATAAACATGTGCACAAGTACCTTGCTGAATTGAAGAGCTGCAATCCACAAGAAAATTCAATTACATTTAGTGAAAGACGTGTTTTCTAAACTAGAGGGTCACACAGTTGTTTCTGTAGGCCAAGTAGATTGTGTACACCAAGGGGACTCCTTACCTTCCTCCACACAAGCTCTCTGTGCACTACTCTCCCATCCCCTTACATTTCTTTCAGGAGCTTCCTGAACCTGAACCGCCCCTTCTGTGCACATCCTCTCCTCAGGCCAGGTGCTCTATGTGCCCCCCATCTGCTGCTCTGCCACATACCACGGTTCTGTCCCTCTCCTCCCATACCATTCTCTCCACCATCCCAGGGGCTCCATGTATGCCGCCATTGCACCTTCACAGGTGCGCCACGTGCCCCCCAATTCCACCCATGTCAGAGGCTCTGTGTGCACCCCCACTCCCCACTTCCTTAGGTCTGAGAGACAAATCATTCAGTGTCAACATTTTAAAACTATTGGGAGGGAGGACAGAGCTGGGGTAGGAGGCGGTGTTATGTTTGAAGGCAATAATGGCTGCCGTCAACCGGGTCTTTGGTCTATAGACAATTAGACACTGGCTAAAGCTGTTGGCTCTGCTAACCAGATGCCATGGGCTCCATGTGTCCACCATTTTCATCCTTCTGGTTTTTCAGTTTTACTCAAAATCAACAGAGTTCTGTCCGCTGGTGCCTAGATATTGGTATTCAGGTATGCTGCAGCATCATATATCATGAGTTTCAAGCCTTCCTTAGTCTTTGCCCAGATGCAGTGGAACCTTTGAGCTACTCTTAGCTTTCCCTTTTGATCCTGATTTACCCCCCACACACACACACACTTCCCCTAGCTTTCACAGTGGAGGCACTCAGGGCACTGCTGGGTGTTCTGGATTACTTGAAACTACCATTATTTAAAGACTCAATAGGAAAGTTTTGGCCTGGCTGAAGCTCTAAACAACACAACACTTTTGACTTTCCCTTTCTCTTCCCCATTAAAAATTAGTCAAACATCTCATGACCCTGATTTCACTCTTTTCCTTCTTTGATCTTAAATTTACTTTAGCAGTTGCAGATGAAACATTCTTCTGACAGTCATAGCTATCCCTGAGCATGGGGGCGGGGGGGGGGGTGGAAGCTGCAGAGAAGAGCTAAGAGCATGTACGAGCTGGAGATACATTTTATGCTCTAAAATAAAAATAAGGATTTTAAAAATAATTGAAAAGGGCAGAGAAACAAATGATTTAAAGGTACAAGTCCCCACCAGAATCATCGTTGGTTACACAAACTTTTCCCCTGGATAAGATGGATTTTTAAAAAAACTGACTTTCACACAGCAGACCTGCTTCCTGTGTGTGTTGCTTAACAGTAGTGACCAAAATAATTTGTATTACTTTTACTCATAGGAACCCTTTAGAGCACTGGTTCCCAAACTTTAACAACCTGTGAATCCCTTTCACTAAATTGTCAAGTCTTGCGAACCCCCTCCTAAAAATGAATATTTCCAGGGATTTTCTCCTTTACCTGAGTATAAATGATAAAAGCAGTGATCATGGAAATATAAAATTTGTTTTTATGACATGCTTATTACACACTATTTATTATTATTATTTATCATTACAGTATTTTTATTACATTATGAAAACGGCTTCCAAGATCTCACTTTCATAGGTTGTATCACTTTGAATAAGCCTGTTCTAAGACAAGGCTCCTATGTTTCATCAAGGAGTATCAGATGCGAAACAGCGTGAAGGGATCTAAGAAGCCAACTCAAAGAGCTCCTCCTACACAAGCATTCAGGTCTTGAGCAGTCCAGGCAAACAACGCACGTTACAACAAAGCTTAAACTTGTTCTGCATAATAATTTAAAAACAATACTAGCTGCCTATTTAATTTTAAAAACAGCAAAAAATATCCACCTCCCTTTCCATTTTTTATCAGGAGTCTTGAAGTTTAAATCTCCTCAGTGTGATAGATATGCTTGCTTTGATCTGCTTAGCTCTTGGAAGTCCAGGGGCTCCGGGCCCCATGCTGCCCAGGGTCCCTAGGGACAGCCCTGTCTGCCATTAGGGAATTTTTCCCCCAAACCCTCCTGTAATATTTCATGAACCCCAGTTTGGGAACCACTGCTTGAGAGCCAATCCAGCTCCAGGAGAGGGAGCTGCACTCTTAATTCTTCAATACATTTGTCACACAAATACCATTTACTAGTTTTTGACCCCATTGTCTTTAAGACCCTGATGTTTTGAAGACAACAAGCTTCATTCTTATCTCAGTTATACCAGCGTGAACTGGGGGGTGTTGCAAACCCCGGTGAGAACAATCTTGAAATTAATAGGCACTGAGGGTAGCCGGTGCCCCAACATATATCAATTATCTCCTCCAGTTTCAGCCAGGTACCAAAATAAGTTAATGAGTCATAAACCAAATGTAAACTTTTAAAAGAGTGTTTACACAGGAGCTTGAGCTGGCGTAAGTAAGTTTATTTTAAAACTGATTTGACTTAAATTGGCGCAACGTGTATGAATAGTGTGGGGCTAGGTGGATAAAATGAAACATACTCCCATTGGAGGTAGAAACCTGGAAATCAGTAATAGGAAGAAGCATGTATTGAAGAGATAAGTAGATTTATAGACATTCACAGTGTGGTGTGTAAGGTTAATGATAATTTGTCTGAATCGGCAGAGATCATATCACAAAGCAACAAGGAGAGAGCTCTTTTCCACATAGCTCTGATGTGAAAACATCTAGAATACAGTGTTCAGTTCTGTATACTTGCGTAATACATATTTAAACACATACAATATCTGTCTATACACACACCCCTAATCTAATATACACAGACATGCATTGATTGGTTTAATTTATCAGGAAACATTTTAAAGATGAGCTAAACACATATAACGTGTAGGTGACAATTGTGTGGGAATATTAATGACCATTTACAAATATTTCAGGGGCTGAGAACCAATGAAAGAAAGGAAATATTTAGAGTAATGTAAGAGGGTACTGATAGGCAGAAAGTCATACAAGGAAAATTTTAGCTGAATATCAAGAGACAGACATTTAAAACTAAAGTAGTCAAACATGAGATGGCATACTGCAGGGAGTAATCCTGAATAGGCAGGGATACAGACTCAAAGATCTAACAGGACTTTTTGCCATCTCCAAAGTATGTGATTATTTTAATGAATTCTAGGCATACAGCCAGCCTGATCGCCTCTTGTTGCTCTGTCTACTCTTCCCTTTTCATCTTCTGTTATAGTCTCCTTCTGGACCTTTTCATTCCTTCTTTCATGTTAATATGGGCCCAATCCTGTCATCTTCACTCAAGCAAGATTTCCTTAAGTTAAGTTGTAGTTTTGCC